TTCTTTCAAACAGCGCTCCCCAGAAGCTTATGTAGGAAATTGCTAATGAAAACATTAAAAAAAGAAAATTCACCCACTTCCTAAGTTTGTTGATAGTTTCTTCTTTAACTTTCTGAACCAGCATGAAGTCAGAAATATTTGTGAAATTTAATCTAATAAAATGTTTTCTTTATATATGCACTGGTGATCAGTGCACAAATGAACCAATGATGAGTGACTCAGTGTAAGGATAACTTCGGGGAGCTTCGCTGAGCGCTCAGGGGGCTTCTCTCAAGAAGACGCCCTCCTAGGCAAAGCCATCTTCTCTTGAGTTGTGGTAGCAGGTGAATTGAGGAAGAAACCGGTACTAATCAAAGGGTTTCCCACTTCCTTGGTCCCCAGCAAGATGCAAACCCTGCCCCCCCTGCTGTGAGTGTCAAGAGGTTGGAGGCAATGAAGTACGACCTCCAGGGCTGGCCTGGCCCATAAAACCTTTCTACACGATCCTGCACGGCCTTTCCCCTTGTTCACCATGTACACCAGGGATTTGGCACTCAGAGGGAAGGACAGTCACTGGACTGAGGAGTGTGGGTCACCAAACGGCTGTGTGATCAGAACTCCCCACCCAATCAGCCCGTCAGACTTAATGTGAATGAAAACATTTATTATGTTAAGCAGCTTAAATTTGGAGATCACCTGTTACCACAATTAGACTAATTACAGAATACCGCTTACATCTATGGCTCTGCCAGTTGAGGGCCAGTGTCCTTTACAACTTCATTTGACCAGCAAGTGTTTACTAAGTATCAGCCGTGCGGCAACATCTTCCATCTCACAGGTCAGAGTCATCTTGTCCGGAGCGGTTCCTTTGAGGAGAACCTGGGCGTGCAGGTCTGCCTCAAGCTGAGGGTCTTGGGGTCAGCCTGAGGGAGGGTGACCCAGAGGACAGAGGGGCAGGGAGGCGACACGTAAGTAGAGGTGGTCCCGGAAGAGGGAGACACCAGGTAGTACGAGGCAGCCGCCACCTGGGTGAGCCCTGAACCTCAGCAGCAGGGGGCCCCCCACTGGCCAGGGCCTGACAGCTGACAGCTGTCTCAGTTCCCACCTCCAAGGCAGGCGCTCTGCAAGCCCCTTGGTCTCTCTGAGCCACAAGTCTTCACCTGTGAAACGGGCCCATCTGGCCTCCCTCAGGGATGGGCTGCCAGCACTGTGCCTGCTGTGGTGGGGGTCGGGGGAGGGACAGGTGCTCACACGCTCTGTCCCTCTGAGTCCTTCTCTTGAGAGAAGAAGCCACACAATGAAGCCCCCAGACCTGTACTTTCCTGCAGGCATCTCCAACCCCGGGAGTCCCCCCTTCCCCAGGAGGGCGCGCCTCCTCACCGCCTCAGCTCACCTCCGCCAGGAGCTCAGCCCCAGCTCGGTCTCTCTCTCTGCTCCATTCTCTTCCATCATTTACAGGATTCCTTTTCGCTTTGGAGGTCAAAGAAATTTCATCATTCTTCTGAAAGGAAAAGACTGAAACAAAGTGGGAGCAAGACAGAAAATATGGCACCGTAAGTACGGTCCCGAGGACCGTCTGAGAGCCCCGGCAGCTCTTCCAAGCCCAGAAACGCACCATTCAGGGCTACCGTTTCTCCACGGAGCCATAATGTGCGGAAGAGAAGCAGGTGAATGGGGCAAATGGGCAGGCTCGGCAAGCAGGCCTGTCACGTCACGTGACTAGAAAAGGCTGACCAGCTGGTCCTGTCATTCAGTTACCTCAGGAGGTGATGGCCTCTTACTGTCTTAGCAGCTACAACAGAAAAAGAATGCTACCATTTTATTGCTCAGCAAATAATGTTCAGTTTAGAATAACCTGCCTCAAGTCCATTTGGAACAAGAGGGAGAAAGTAAATGTTAGCAATTTCTAATGAGAACCTTTCTCACAGACACTTGGCACAACATCATTTGGTACGTGAAGGAGGATTAAAATCACCATTTACCCTTTCACTCATTCCAAATTTGGTAACCATCCACTCTGATATTTTAGTTGCATTATCAAAATCACTGGAGGCTCCTAAAATTTTAAAGTAAATGTAGAACTTAATTCTTTAAAATATCTTTAAGCCAGCAAAGACAATCTGAACTAAAGCCACGCTTGATAGCCAACCTGTTGTAATATGGTCAGTTCCAAATATCAGCTCCCCTGCCACTCGTCCCACACTGACACCCATTTGTGCAAGGAGCTGAGCTCTAGTTTCATTCCATCTGTCACTCTCAGGCAACAGGGACACCTAGCAGTTGAAAAAAAAATTCAGACAGTTTGAAACATTTGTATTAATAACCAGAATGACCATTTGGCTCTCATTACACTACATCTTTAATAGCATGATGCTAAAAGCTACACATTTAGTAGAGATCGTCATCAAGTGACTGATGACAAAACCAGCAATATGTAAAATATGCAAACTTCCTTATAAAGCAAAACTGAATTTATAAATAACAGACAGGTAATGCTACAATAGGACTGTTTAATCACTAGTTGCACAAAAATGTTTCAAATGTCTATAGTTCGAAACATGAGAATGAAACTTGTATTCAATGGAAAAAACCTTTGAAAATCTATTAAGTTATATGTAACTTCCTGAAGGGAGGAAAAGAGCAATTACACATATTTAAGAATTACACTTTGCTGTCATTGTGGAATTAAATTTCATAATATAGAGGGGCATAGTATCTGAAATATTAAGAAAACATTTTATTAGATTAAATTTCACAAGTATTTCTGACTTCATGCTGGTTCACAAAGTTAAAGAAGAAAGTATCAACAAATGTAGGAAGTAGGTGAATTTTCTTTTTTTTTAAATGTTTTTTCATTAGCAATTTCCTACATAAGCTTCTGGGGAGCGCTATTTGAAAGAAAAGAAAAAAATTACAAGACGTTACATGTGCCAGTGCTGGCCCCGCAGCGTGCCCGTGGCCTTGCCGACAGGCCCGGCAGCTTGAGCGTGATGTGCAGTGACAGCTTGCCCAGATTCATGACTTGCTGTGATGGTTTGATTTTTGTCATCGATTTCCACGCTTCTACATTCAGGCCCTAAGGATAAAATTTAATTGAGTAAAATTTCTCCGTCAGGAAGGTATATTTAAGTGACTAAAACCCATCTGCTGTAAAGTCATTTTAGAGTAACATGACTTAATACCACTAATAAGTATTTTAGACCACAACAATCTGTCAACTGAAAGCCAACATTTTAAGATCATCTTAATCTTTGTATCAAGAGAGTGGAATTCTATTTTCAGAAGATAGACTTACTATTAATAGGAATATCGTAACTAACCTATTAAAGGCAATTCAAGATTTAAAATTAAAATTAAACAGTGAGAATTAATAAAATTATTCTTTCATCAGCAGTATCCAACAAGGAGAAACACATGGGCAACTGTCCCTAAAGCGTATAATCATATAAACTACGCTTGTTCTGTAAGAGGCCAGGTGGTGCTACTATTTTTAAATATATTTTTCCTTGTTCCTCTACCTCACCTTTCTTTTTCATAATAGTTTTACAAAAAAAAAAAAAGAATAATTTATTCTCCAACACCATGAACTGTGTTAAGACAGAAGGAAGAGAGGAAACCTACCCCTTAGGATTTCACCTGCGGAGAGCTCCGGCCCCTTCGCGGTGACCGTTGCTTCACCAACAGCCGCCTTCCATGCGGCCTGGTTCACAAGACTCTCCAACCTGCGCCAGAAAAGCCAGCACGACCTCGAGCTGTTATGTCTGGATCAACGGCTACGAAAACAGAACAGTATCAAAATTCCAAAGCAGCTAACACAAAGCTTTTCACAAAGAATTCACATTCCAAAAGAAAAAAAAAAGCCCTATCAGACCCTAACTTAAAATATTAAAATATTTATCTTAGTGAAACTACAACAAACTCAAAATTGCTATTAAAATTGCCATTGGGACAAACCAAAAAAGTTCCTAAATTTAAATAATGGTGAAAAACAAAGAAATGTAGAGTTCCCAACATGATTTATAAATCTTCTATTTTATCTATATTGTTACTATTTTATAAATCTTCAATTTGATCTATATTGTCACTAGCCTAACAAAAACTTGAAAAAGTTATACCCATAGACAGAATTTTTCTGAGTTTCATCTTGAAATATTTTGTACATAAAAACCACTCATCATAGGAAGCATTTACTTTTATGAACTGACTCAACTATCTTTGAAAATATTACACCTTTAGACTGTTTTTATTCAAGTGGATCCATAATATTTCCATGTGTTTATTTTACAGTTTGCTTTCCCCTCCTCTGGCTCCAAAGTGACTATAATTATACCACAAGGTACCTTGCTCATAAACATATAAGTGCTTTTTCTATTATTTTATATTTTATATTCATCTTCAAGTATTATCTATCTGAACGCTCAGTGGAAAACTTTCTGTATGGACTTCAGGATTCGAAATTATAGAATCTCCTGGATATAATTAAGAAATAGACTTTTTTAAAAGAACATATATAAATGGAAGAAAACAAGACATATAGAACTGGTATTTTAAGACAGTTATCAAACAGGGACCACAAACAGAGTGGACTGATAAGGTTATCATTTCACAGAGACAATATCTGTGTTATGAAATCAGACTTATACTGATCAAACTTTATTTTACTGAGATACAATTTCAAAATTTCTGTTCAACCTTTTACATCTTGTCTTGGAACTGTAACTTCCATGTCAAGATGGCCAGGACATATTAAGGTGCTAAAAATAATACAAAGAGAAAACATAAATTAATGGGCTAACTGTGATGAAGGTCAAGTCAAACAGGACTGACACTCTCAAGAGACAATGGAAAGACAATGCAACCAGAGATCAGGCATATTTCTTTTTTGGTATCACTGATCTACAATCACATGACGAACATTATGTTTACTAGACTCTCCCCTTCACCAAGTCCCCCCCACATACTCCATTAGTCACTGTCCATCAGCCTAGTAAGTTGCTGTGAAATCACTACCTGTCTTCTCTGTGTTGC